GCTGCGTTTTTCTGTTGCATTTGTTTTCATGCGTTTGTGTGTTTTTGGTTTTGCATTATTCCCGTTTTTGCAGCATTTTGCCGTTTGTGGCGTGTTTGCCCTTGTCGGCCACCGTACAATTGACCTTTCAATGAACCTCGTTTTGATTTCCTGTAGCATGTCCATCATTAAACCTGCCTCATGTTGAAATGCACTCAAAGCAACAATTATAGGTAACCTGAAAGTCTTAAAAAAACTCAAATGCTGGCTGCTACTAACTTTTTTACCTGCAAAAATCACACAGACAGTGCTCATTGTGAAACAGGATCGGCTTGGTGGAAGTGTGCAGGTCAATTATTCCCCTTTTGAATCAAACGCACTTGAATGATTAAGCATCATAAGCTCTTAGCTCAAAGAGGATGGCGTGCTGCAGCACTGTGACCATTCTGTGCACTTTAATGAGTAGTGGAGCCTCCATGATCATAAACAGGTTGGCTTTGATGCTTCATTAAAAGAGCCTCTCCAACACGTCTGAAGGGGGCTCCTCCTTTGTAATAACAATTTATAATTCTCTTGATCTAAAGGCCTGATTGGTAAGGAGAAAAAAGAAGAGATTTTGTTCTCTCTACTCTTCAAGATGGTTTGTAAAAATCAAAAACTGAATTTGCCTACAGGGCCCATCCAAGACCAGACTTCCACGAAGAAAGCTTGTCATTAAACATCATCCCCACATATACCAAACCCACAAGAAAAGAAAGGTGAATTCAAAGCCTGTGTAATCACTCCTTGGTTTATCACTATGACAATTTATTCCTCACTTGAGAAGAACAATTAGTGCAGGTACTGGGCAAGCTGTCAGGCTTTATTGTAAAATATCTGGGTTTTACTTTTAATTTTATTTTTAGCTTGCTTTGTTTTGGTTGCTTGGTTAATAAACAATACAGCTGAAAACCCAACTTGTAGAAAAACAAGTCTGGTTAAATAATAAGTTCCAATATGAATCTTTAATGTCCCCCTGCACTCAAAGATGTATTTTACTTATTGTTACATTACCTGTTACTGTTTGACCTCACTGTGTAGAATGATGTACTGTATGTGCAGAGTTTGATAAGAGGATGGAAGTTTCTCTGTGTGAGTACCAGCATGATTTTGTGACATCACTAGCTTGAGAGCTTAGCGTGGTCCATTTGAGGTTTGGAAACCTTCCTCAGACATCTCTAATGCCAAACACCTGAGAACGCGGACAGCAACAAAAAAAAACAAAATATTATGGCACCGGGGCTATATGTGATGACATTTTAAAGTTACTTTTTAAGTTAAGAGTGCTAATCTCTTTACATTTAGCTACCAGTAGCTTTAACAACTGGGAAACCATGCAGACTGAATGGAAAACTGTGGATTATGTCAGCTTCCTGCTGGGATAATTGAAGTTTGTGTATATATGAGTGTATGTAACTATGACTGCTCTGTAATAAAGTACACTCTCCTTTGTTAAGGTGCTGAAAGCTTTGCATACAACTGTACACACAGAAACAATCTGTCAACTCGCAAACAGCTAAATGTTCATCCTGAATAAAGGAAAAAGGAAATGTAAATTATGATGACTTATTTAACGAGATTAGCATGGCAACAGCACAAGTATGATTTCAAGCACCCCTCCCAACTAAAAGCTATAGCACAGTGCATATACACACAAAAGTGCACACAAAGGAGTGTGTGACAAACTTGCCGGCGCCCCTCACAGGGTGACGCTACAGTTGATTTGGGAATTACAATTAGATTTATGATGTGGCTGTGTATGGCTGAGCTCTCCGTTTCTCTCTCTGAAATGCTGGGATTGGCTGCAGCGAGCACCGGCGCCGTGGCGTATACACCACAGCACAGTCAGAATGTGTGGTGTTTCCTCACACACACACACACACACACACACACACACAATGGAACAATAGGCCACATTTACTGTAATGGGCCACCAAAATATAAAGACCAAGTGGAATAGCTCGACTTTGGAAACAGAAAGCCTTGTGTTGGAAATTATTAGATCTCTGGAAAGTAAGAGCACTATTAAGAGCAATGGAAATAAAAATTCATGCAGCACTACCTGTAACTTGTGCACAGTGCTTTAACACGCAGAACACTAGGTACTTCATTCTGCAAATGAACTGTTTTGCAAATACTGATCTCTTATCTTTCCTCAGAAGTCAAAGAAACACTTGAAAAGCAAGGACAAAGCAACAGATTTGTAAGAAAAGTCTCATTTCTTTTCCTTTTCTTTATTTATTTATTTTTTTGATTGTCTTTCTCACCAAGTTGTACTGACACTTTTAGAGCCAAAGCTGGCTAATAAATACAATGAAATGTTAAAACGCACAATTGAATTTCAAATACAATACTTATCACAAAATGTGTCCGACCAGGAAACGTAAGTTCTGCTTCTGCAGGTCACAACTGACAAGAGCATGAGGTTAAAGAGATCAGAGGTGATGTGACCCCTTTAGGCGGCACTAGAGCTGCGGCAACAAAACTTGCTTCAATAAATGAAGTGCTTCCAAAGAAATGGCAATTTACTTGGGCCTGGCATGTACAAGGCTTCCTATAAAGTCCGAGCATGTGACTTTTGACTGTTCTAATTTATCATGTTGAAAATCAAACAACTTCACATTAGTTAATACTAAAAAAAAAAACTAAAAAAAACATAGAATTTATATCCAGTGCTTAGGATGTGTTTGACACTAACAGAAATGTCTATGCATGAGGCTTTTTTCCTGTGATGCAAGCGAAAAACCAATGTTCAGTCCCAGCTTGTGAAGCTTTTCCAAGTAAAAACTGCCAGATATGGTCATGAAGAGAAATATGGAGTCAGAAGACGTGTTAAACAGTTGCTAAGCAGAGCAACCAGAAACAACCTGAGGTCACAGGTGTTGAAAATGGAAATATGTTCAAAATTGCAGAGTGGTGAAAAGAGATAAAGGAAGAATATGATGTGTCTTCAGAGAAAGAATGTGACATTTGAGTAAAATAGAGGAAAAAGCATGCACACCCAGCATGGCGCTGACCACTGGGCCGCACCAAGACGAAAGAGGAACAACTCTCTTCAGACTGTGGAAAAACTTGTGTGCTCTGACTGGGGTGGTTGACTGAGAAGCTGATTCTGAATTATATACCTTTTTTTCCCTCCTTTCTTCTCTTAATAATTTACTTGTCATCAAAATATACATGCAACGTAGAAAAATGTACCCTTTTTGAAATAACAGACCTATTAAACCCATTTTTTTTGCAACTATATAAAGTATTTTTTAAAACACAAGCTTGGTGTATCTTTCCCACGTGATGATGAGAAGACATTTACAAATACTAACAGGCTAATAAAAATAGTAACATTTTGTACATTTTTGTACCAATTCAAAACACAATTCAAAATACAGTGATGGGATCCAGAATATTAAACTCTTATCCTACAGTAGGCTAAATCTGGGGCTGCTCATCCCCTTTAATATGATGCTGAATGAAGAGAGCTAAAGGTACACTTAAAAGACTCATGAACTCTTAGTGTCTAAGCACAAATCAAGGCAAAAAATGTCTATAACTTTAGCCAGATTGAAAGGGAAAGACTCAAATACTAAATGCCGGTGTTTGGTTACACCGTACTGCACTTCTTGCACAATGTGCACAAGTGTTTGGCCTCAAAGAACTATGGTCAGTGTGGTTCATGAAAGCACCAATGCAGTGGAATTGAAGCATTCGATGCTGCTCTTGTGACTACATCTCTGAAGGGGCTGCCAGAGAGCGACACAAAGTGTGTATCTGTGTGTGTGTGTGAGTCTGAACGAGTGTGATGAAAACACATCCTCCCTGAGCTCTGCTTGTTACTGGGCCAGGAGGGGAGCCAGCAGTTACTGAGTAGGAACTCATCTCATCTGATAGAAAAAGCTGATTGTATAAGACTTTTTGCAGCATTGGAAGTTAAGACTACAACATCCAGAGTGAATGTGAATGTAGGTTTGGCACATTTGAAGTAAATTTGTACAATGCCTGGGTACTTAATTACTA